AGCCGGGGGTCCCTGCGCCCCGTCCCCGCGCCTGCCCCACCTGCCGCGCCGCAGGTCGGCTCGTGTATTTGAAGTGTCAGCCTTTTAGAGAAGGCATTTGAATCGTATCGCTGTTCGGCGCTTAATACCCTGGGACCTGGGAGCAGCTCAGGGCTGGTAGATACTTTACAAACAGGGTAATAAACAACATAATAAATGAGGCCCATGTACAGCAAGGTGCTGGTGGCCCCTCTTTTGACACCTAATAGCGAGCCTGACGGCGACCTTACATTCAAGATTTTATAATTTCAGGCTTCATTAGAAGCCTGAGTCATAATTTCAGGTTCATTAGATTATCTCTATATCCCAAAGCCACATCATAAAGATGAGAGAGATGCTAAGATTTGTTTTATAAATGCGGACAGCTCGATTGTAGTCAATAAAAGAAGGAGGCTGATCTCACGGGGATGGTTGGATGAGATCAGACAAAGATTTTTGCAGGCTGGAGTCAGTATTCGTTAGCAGCAAATGGAGACCCTGTTTCATTCTGAACTGTCTGCTCTCCATGGACATATGTGTGGTGGCACGTCCGAAGGATACGTCTAAAACACAGACGTGATTTCAAGATTCCATTAGAAGCACTGTTTTCCTGCCTGGGCTTGGCCGATGTGTATCGGATTTGCTCTAATTATGATCTTTGAAATGAGCCCTGATGAGAAAAGTGGCATCTGAATTGCTCTGGTTTTATTTTTATAAATATGAATCACCTACTGTTTTGAAAAAAGTTCAAGCCCTTTCTCCTGCATTTTCTAACCTAATTCCTTTTAAAAATCCCCATCAAAATTAACAGGGAAAAAGGAAAAGGATGAAGATATGTTTGTATTTAATATTGCAAAGCCAAACACCAGACACAACATCACTTTATGTACAGCTTTCACTATATTGCATCACCACTGTTTCTGTGGAAAATTCCCGAACTGTGGAAAGAAACCCAAGTAATCCCTTGACTATTCTGTTTCTGTTTGAGAAGTACAAATTGCGGGGATGGCCGGGCAGAGCGCAGGACCTGGGTGTAGCATCCCTTGGGGTGCGAAGGCTTCAGAGCCACCGCAGTCCCCCGGGGTTTTGTAGGTGTCTGCCCAGTACAACCCTGGGGAGGAAGGGCCTGGGAGGCGAGGCCAATGCTGCTCAGCTTCTCGCCTGGCCTTCTGGATCACGCAGTGCTGAGGGACTGCCCAGCTTATGCAGCCACCCTCCGTCACGTTATCCAGAAGATAAATTTAAATTGCATCACAAGTGGTTAGTCTGAAGCCCGTAGCTTGCATTGGCAAGGTCGCCTCGGAGCAGAGCGGAGGGCGGGTGCTGCACGGCTGTCCCTGTGCCCTCGCGAGGGCTGCGGCTTCCCTCCCCGCGGACTCCTCCGTGCTGCTGCACCCCACGTGCCCCCTCCCCACGCAGTGACTTCTCACTCTGGCCCCATGCCTGGGAAACCCCGGCTGCTGCGCTGGTGGTGGTAGCTCCTCTGCAGCACCCGGCACGGCCCCAGGGCTGGGCTGGGAAGCAGACAGGCTGCAGGCACCGACAACCTGCAAGCCCTCCACCCTGCTGAGCGATGGGGAGCAGCGCTCTGCTGACCAGCAGCAGCAGTTTGGGCCAGGTTTTGGCAAGTCTGGCACAGCCCTTGGTGCTCCCCCAACACACGTGCTCTTGGGGAGGGACACCCACAGCACCTTGGAATGGAAAAATCTGCGTGTGTTTCAAACTGTCCAGCTCCAAGACACGCAGCCAAGCCACACCAGCCGCGTGACATGCACAGAGATCCTAGGACCTTCATCCTCCCCTGTGCTGGGTATGGCCATCTGCCCTCTCTGGTAGCCCAGCAGCCATGATGTTGACCTTGCATGGTGGCACAACAGACCCAGCACTGCCTGACCGGCCTCCTCCAGGGGTGGCCTGATGAGTCCTAACCGAACGCAGGTGCCGCGATGTGAGGCACTTCTAGACAGACTAATCAGTGAAGTGTGCATTTAGCCTGATGAATCGCACCTTGAACCCTTGTCACCCACACAGCTGGGTCGAAGCCATGTGCTCTCACCAAGGTGGTTAAAGCCGCGGGAGTGCACCCTGTGAAGCACCGACTCCGGGTCCTGGATGCGGCAGGGGAGGGGATGTCTGACTGGAGGAAAGCTCTCCGCACTGCACAAACAGCCTCCTCGGAAGTGGAGGGTGGTCCATTTGTAATTCTGGGGCAAACAGTATAAATACATAAATGCTGCTTTGAAAAGTTTCAAACTCTGGCCCCCTCCACTACACCGATTTATTTTTCCAAATTACTGCATTATGCAGCAAAAAAGGCTTTTGACATGTATATGCACAGACTTATTAGCTTGACAATAAACAGATCAACAAGCTACAGGGTAACAATTTTAATGGACTCAGACACTTCGGTAACTACACGCTGGAATAAAATGCATTATTTATTATACATATTGTAGTAGTTCGTAAAGGCCTCAGCAACGATCAGGGCACACAGTACTCGACACTGTAAGGATGCAGAGCAGTGGAGACCCCACCCTAAAGCACCTTCCAACGTAAATACATCCAACAGACAGAATTTATTTGCTTTTCACGATAACTCAGCCCTTGACTCACCACAGACCAGGCACAGTTCAACGCAAACGTGTCTGAACTTTCACAAAAGGTGTCTGACTCCCACAGATGAAGGCTGCTCTTTCTTCAGTGGCTTTTCAAGGACCTTTCCTCCCTGTCAGTAGAAGAACCAGCAAGTACCAGTTCTGAAAGCATTTTCTAAAAAAATTATTTGCTTATACACCTACTTAGATATGCAGTGATTTTACATCAGCCACTGGATACCACCAAGCATCTGTACAGCACTTATTCCAGTTGCTCTATGAAAGTTTGCATATTTGCAGTACTCATCTTCTAAACATACTTAGTACGTCAGTAATCCTAGAGGCACATATGACGTAGCCATCTTAATTAACATTAACTCAGTCAATAACATAAACCAGTGCATAATTAAATTGCCAGACTTGATTCTGTTTCATTCACGCTCTTAACAGTTTCACATGACGAACAGTCCACATCTCAACTGCACCAACAGAACAAATAACATACGTTCTAACTAGACCACTTTATTAAATCAAATTGTGTTGCTCAGGACATCTGTGCAGGTTGTATGGGCTTCAATGTAAACTGCAGAAATGATGATAACATCTCTTAGTAAAGCACTTCCGACCATTAGATTTCAAGGAGCATTATCTGAGGGGTAAGTCCCATTCTCCCCATTTGGGTGATAAGGAAACAGACCACAGAAGACCTCAGAGAAATCACTTCTATTAGTCACCTCAGAGTCAGATTAAGAGAATTCAGCCTCTCGAGTCCCACTCCAGAGGACAAAGTTTGATCCAATTAATCAAGTATAAACCATAAAACAAACAAAGCGGCACGTGTTCCAGTAGAAGCCCCCATCATTCATCCCTCCATCACTGCTGCTCAGCATTATAGTGGGAACAGAAGCACATAATCTTACAGCTGGTCTATTGTCAAAATGACACATTAGCAGAAGGATTTACAGACATGTTTGCTTATGAAGTAAAGGTTTGTATGTTCAGAAATGCACGTTTTCTCTGTACAGGAGCAACACACCACACAGAAAGCTGCTCCCTGAAAGCTCTGCAGAACTCAGGAACATAGTTCTATCTGACTATCAAGGTTTGCTGCCTCCCCCCGCAAAAAATATCAGAAACTGCAGTGAATAGACAGCTGCCAGTACGTACAGACCACAGTGACAGGCTGGTACAGCAGCTGCACTGAGGTCCTGAGCAACTCTTCAACACAGTGGTAGAGCAGTGCCATAAAAAAAAAGAACTGGACACTCTTACTCAGCCTTTGCACGAAAAATCAGTATTTGCTTCTCAGAGGCAAATCCTGGCCCCAGTGAAGCCAGTAAGTGTTTTGCTAATGATGGAAACTGGGTCAGGATTTTAATTCAGATTTTACTTGCAAATTTATTTCAAGCAAGCTTCGGTCTGTGATGAGTTGATTGAAGCAGGCAGTTTTCTATATCCACAGAACCAGCAGGAAAGCTTTCTGGTGTTTTGATTTTATTTTTTCAGTAGCTTGGGTGCTATGTTGTTTTGGAACCACATGAAGCTGAAGATGACACCCATTGTCTTGGGGAGAGTCTCATCATAAGCAAACTTCATGGAATCTTCTAAAGGTATTTCTACAACTTCAATCAGCTCTCCCTCTTCAGGCTGGCCACCTCCTTCACCAGCTCTCATCTGGTCTGTTACTTCTGCATAAAACAACGTCTGCCTAGAGCCTGTCACACCAACTCCAGACCTGGAAAAAAGTGGAGAGGAAACTTCGGTTTAGATAAAAAGAAGGTAGCTCAGAACTAGGAATGGAAATCTGGGTCCTTAACTTCTGTCACTAAGCAACATCAAAATGCATGTCCTTACCTCTGTTAATGTCATTTAGAACCTATAAATGCAATTTAATTAACAAAGAAATTGATTGCAACTTTCATGCAGAAATATCAACACTTTTGAATACAGTTGCGTAGGAAATGGATCTGTCTTCAAATATATTCTGCCACTTTGGAAAAAATGTTAGTTTGGGAGAAGATAAAAAAATAGTTTTTGAATAGATGAACAGTTGTTCTACATACACTGAAGTAAACGGAAGTTTCTTCAACTGACCTTAGTGAGAGCTGGACTATGGGATGACTCACAGAGATTTACAAACAACAGAATGAAACTCCTCAGCATATCTGGATGTTATCATGCTACATTTGTTTGCTTGTTTTTACACAAATATTTAGATTTTTTACTCTAAGAAGATTATGTTCGTTCACAGCTGGAGCCCTCTACTCATGGACTGGGTAGGTACAAGAATAGAAAGGCAGCCTGAGGGTCTTTCTCTATCCTTCCTGAACTTTAGCCTTGACCCAAATGGACCACTGTAAGCACGCATGTATCTGAAGTAATTCAGTCTCCCTGCTGAATTTGCTACAGTGGATTTAGTTGAGGATATTTTAGATTATGTAGTCTTTCTTCAGCTAGACCGCTTGCTGTGTATTATACTTCTTATTTGTTAATCCTCTATTTCCTTAGGACTATTTCATTTAGGTATTATTAAATAAGGGATAAGTACATAATCCACTCATTTAGTCCTTCCAAGAAAATATTCACATCACAATCGCAACTTCTTAATTTCACATGATTACAACCGACTTTCCACATTGAATCTGGATCCAAAGTCCACTGGAACTATGAATGAGGCATTAGGGCAAGCTGAAAAATTAGCTTCCATATTATTATGTGGAAGACATATTATATAATATGTAGTATTATACATACAGAGGATTCTAAGATTTGTAGCAGTGTTACGATCTTGGAGTATATATCAACACTTACACAATCAATAGTCAACTAAACCTTTTAGTTAATTCAGCATAAATCACACCCCATAGCAGGAATTAATCATTGGTCTCAATTTTCCATGAACACTGGCAATTATTTTGTTTGGAGAATTAATAGTGATTATTGAAGTTGGTTTCTTACATCAATATACACTTATTTCTAAAACACAGAATAGGGAGTGAACCAGTGAATTCTTTTCCTAAAATTACTACTGATATATTCTGTGACTTTGGGAAAGACGTTTCACAACTCCAGGATCATTCCTATATTTCTACGAAGTGCTTGAGAAACTTAAGCATCTTTGGCACTTCCAGGAACTTTGAAGGTTGCTATGGGATTTCTTTCATTCTGGGCTCATCACTTTATTTCAGTGGCAGTAGTGGGTTTTTTGATACATGTTTTAAGCAACAAAATGTGACCTACTAGGATGCAGCAAGAGGCCAGACTAACGGTTTTCCCTCTCTCTTCCACTCTCACCAAAGTACATGACCTCCTCCCTCAATCTGATTCAGTACTTGCCGTCCCTAAGGACCTATTTTCTGCAGCCACTGTCCTTGCTATTTGTACGCTATTCTGACGACCATCAGAGATGGTTTGCCAATCAGAGAGCTATCCAGGGCTGACAATCAGCCACAGACTGTATGTGCCACTGGCAGTACATCAAATGGTTTCCCAGGACTCCCCGTGCCACGCTCCCTTTTCTCTTTTCTGACAGGAAGCTGCCTGGAAGAGGAACGCCGTTCGCCAGCCGCGCTGCTGCTCACCTCACCACAACTGAGAATCCAACCAGCAGACGGCACAACACAAACGCAGTCTTCGAAAGCAGCAGGAGTTGCACACTGGGCCCACCACACTGGCTTGATCACTCTGATCTCATTATAAAAGCAAGGTAGACTCATTTTTCATCAAGTTGCTGTCAGCAACCAGCTCACAAAAGATGGAATGACTTTTTTTTATGCTAATATGCACTGATAGTGCCCTTTCTGCTCGGAGGATGACGGCACACTTTACTGGATTCCCTTTGTGTTAAAATACAATATATTTTCCTGGTATTATCAAGCAAGAATATATAGTGCTAAAAAGCAACACTGGAAATTAAATACTGATTAAGAGCGGAGAGATCTATCTCACAATCCATCATGGATGGCTATTTAAGCTCTAGTCATTCAGTGAACAGTCTCCCACAGCTTAGTCACCTTGATATCTGTCACTGACCACTGACCTGTGTGCTACCCATTCCTCACTATTGTAGCTATGTCCATTGGAAGGAGCCTCACTGAGAGAATGTGTTTGTGATGGAATAGTAGACTGTTTGTTCATTTTTGGTTCCCTCTTTTCCTTCTTTTCTTGTCTTTTCTTGTGTGAGAAGGCAGAAAGGATTTTTTTTTTTTATTTACCTAGAGATCCAGATCTGTTTTCCTCTATATATAGAGATTATTCGTTCTTTAATTATTTCTGCAAGAACTGCATTTTTAGTAATTAAATGAACATAGGAAATCTGGGCTTCAGAGATTATTTTTTGGTAATTGATAGTAAGAATAAACACACACATGTTAATTTACACTGTAAAATTTGCAAGACAAAGAATGGGGCTTGCTAGTCCCAGGTATTCTGAAAAAACACAAGACCATGCATAATACATTTAATGTTGTGTTATTTATGATGAATGTTAAATCTGAGCTTCATCTGGGGTGCCCCACCTGGAGAATGAAAATGCTCTTAGATTGAGTATACCCATGTCCTCCTGATATTATGTAAAGGTTATATACAAAAACATAGAGACTTTATTTAAGAAGCCCTTCTATAAGAATGTTCTGGCTTGATTATTTACAGCATAATCTCCTTCTATAGCACCTATAGTTATGAAGTAGCTGCAGCTGTGGAAATCACAGGAGCTCACTTTCCACACATCTTTTCTTTAAAGTAAAGGAAAACTGCTTCCTGAGGTGCTATACCATAAGATTCAGTTTCTTGCCACTGTAACTCAAATAGCATGGAGTGATTTCAATCGGCCATTATTTCATTGTATTTACTCATATGATACTTTTATTAAATCAATGTTTCTTTTCTTATGAACCAAGTATGTCAAGAGTGGCTGCTACACTGAATATACTTTAAAAGAGGAAAGCACTGGACATCAATGTCTTCTCTTTGTTATAAGCCCAAAGTTATGGCATTTTTTTCCACATATACTGGCCTATCATTTGCCACAGAAACCAATGAAAAATTTGCAACAATAAGTATTCAAGGGAGGACATACCCACATGTTCATTCTTTGTTACTTGATTACCTAACTTACCTTTCTTTGGTGCACCTTTGCCATGAGTTACTCATAAAAAGCTCATAAAAACTTCCAAATGAGCTATAAATAAAATCAAAGAGTGCTGGTATCAATACTCATGTTATTCTACTCTGCCGTCCCCCAACAGCAAATTTAACATTTCTAAGACTACTCAGAATCCCCTCACTATTTAGATGGGTGACTTTGGAGGTGATTGCGTGACATTATTTATGTACATATTCACAGCTTTTATTGTCTAACTACAGGCCTATTTCAATGGTTTCAGAGAAAGGTTGAAAGATACAGAAATATACTTTAATTCATAAAAAAGGCATATTTCTCCCCTTTTTTATTTGATATTTCTTTCTCTAAATGCTCTGGCTTACTCAGCCAGTTGATCATTTTTTCATGGATCTATGTGGAATGCCCTTCACTAAAATATTCTCCAATATTGCCTATTGCCATCTTTCACATTTCCAGACTCGCGGATATTAATGGAGCTTGCCTGTCCAAAGAAAATTGTCCAAAAGTTAATAGCATTAACATTTCATTTGTCTTCGTACCTTTGTTTTTTACAGAAATCAAAGTTAGCAGGTTTGTTGCTTTGAAGCCATTCTGAGCCTCCATCCGCTTGAAGCAATAAAATGTTTTAACACATACCCTTGGAAAACGTGTATACATTTCAGCGACTTTGGGTACTTGGGGCTGGAGGAGTGAGAGGGGAGCGAGGGAGAAGGTGGGTCTGACTGGTAAAGAGGCAACAGGCTGCTATTATGTTTTCAGCACACTTTCAGATTATCTGTCACTAGGAACTTCCTATGCTTTTGCACACTTTCAGAGTACGATGTTTAAAGAATTTTGATGTGCCTTAATTCATGGTTATGTTCCTTTTTCTGCTACCTTCTTCCTCTATCTCAAGTCTGATACATACGCTTTTCCTTGCCCTAGTATTTCATGTTACAAATAAAATGCATTTGCCGTAGTCTGAAATGAGTCACCTATTAACAGATTACAGCTATATTCATTACCTTTGCATCTGTGGAAATCACAGGGGTCAGCACACTCGAACTGCAAGGGATGAGTTTTACCCTGGGAAAACCACCTTCCTGATAAAGGTGTTTCCCCTTCCCAGTGCACCAGAGGCTTGGTTTGGGGGAGGGCAAGCAGGGTCTGAACTCATGGCCCTGGCTCGGGGTCAGACTTGAGGCTTCAGTCTCACTCCACGGGCTTAGCACTGTGTTGCCCACACCAGGCATGTCATGGCTCATACTGACCCAGACCTACTAAGCCTGGCTTGACCTAGCTGATTGTTCCAGATGTATTTTGATGTGTCTGTACGGTGCTTGACTCTTATTTACCACTGTGGGACAAATGCAAATGATCTATACAAAACACAGCTCTGTTTTTGTCTTCTCTTTATGGTGAGGATCAGTTTCTTTTGAGAAGTTTATAGTTGTTTCAGTTAACAGCTACGTGGCTGACAAATACTCTTTGTCAGATCATTAGGGCTTAAGCTCACAAAGCCTGTAACTTCAACAGAGAGAGATTTTAAAACCCAGAAGTCTATTAGCACTAAAATTTTAGTGTTGCTTTAGAGACAATTAGAAACCTTTGACAATAGCAAGTCTAAGGACGTA